TAAGGTAGTGGTGAGGGAAGGCTTCCCCAAAGAGGTGGTTTTATAGGTAGGTCCTGAAGGATGGCTAGGCATTCAGTCCCCATGTAAAGAGGAGCAAGGGCATTCTGGGCAGAGGTATGGAAGCATGAGAGCCTGGAGTGCTTAGGAGGCAGTCGTTACGGTAGTCAGCATCTACTGAGCACTTAATATGGGCCATGGGCCATTTAAGCACTCAAGAAGCATAATTTTTCATCCTCTAACCCAGGGTTTCTCAACGATACTATTGACATTTTGGACCAGATCATTCTTTATTGTGGGAGCTGACCTGTGTGTTATAAGGTTAGAAATGTTCCTGGCCTCTACCCACTAGATGCTTGTACCCCTTATGCCCAGTTGTGACAATCAAAAACATCTCCAGATTTGTCAAATATCCCCTGGGGAGCAAAATCACTCACGATTGAGAACCACTGTTCTAACATGAGGGTTGTACTATAATTAATCCTATTTTACAGATGAGGAAACTGACGCCTAGATAGGTGATGTAACTTGTCCAATGATACACAACTAGGAGATGGTAGCTCAGATCTGAACTAGGCACTGTGGCCAGAGCCTTAACCACCACCTCCCACAACATTGTGTTCACTGGGGTTGAGGTAACAGAGAATAGTAAAGGAGGGATAAACTAGGAGCAGATCAAGAATGGCCTTGAACACTTTGCACCTTCTGTACCAGGCTTTGTGCCTGGTGATTCTGGGGACCTAAATTAGAATCCAGTAGAACCCCAAAGTTGTCTGCAGGCATTACCAAATGTTCCCTAGAGGGACAAAATCATCCTCTGTTGAGAAACACTGACTTAGATTGTAGGTTGCCTGGGGTCTTGAAACTCCCATCTCACCACTTGCTTTAAAAATTAGGTCTCACCCAGAGCAGGAAGCCATCTCTGATTATGAGGATTAAATGAGATGAAAATAATAAAAATTTATTGAACATTTACTCTGACTAAGCACTATTCTAAACACTTTCCATGTTAACTCATTTGCTCCTCACAACCACCCAATGAGGCAGGTACTATTATTATCCCAAATTTACAAATGAGGAAACCGTGCACGGAAAGTACAAAGCACAGCGTTTGGCATGTTCCAACTGCTCATTAAGTGTTGTTTTTCTCACTAGCAGTGCTTGTGGCCTCTGGCTCCTGCAACCCCCAACTTCTGGTACCTCCCCAACCAGGCCAGAAGCTCTGGAAAGAGACAAGACCTGATACACGTGTCCCCAGAAGACATGGTCCGGCACACAGTAAGCCTCAGGAAATGACTATTAAATGAATGAGCCCCGATTATCCGAGTTCACCGCTCACAACTGATTCACACACCCACAGAAAGGCCTGTGTCCCTGTCACCCTTCATCCTCGACCCTCTCTATCAAGCACCTCTAAGGGTAGAGACAGGAGGCTCAGAATATGCAGGAGGGAGCAGTTTGGAGGGACGGGACCTGGGAAGCGGGCTCTGCGCTTTCTCTTGGGCGTTCTCTGTTCCTTGCTCTCTGGGGTTTGTGCTCCGGGCAACCCTTCGTCTCACCTGCCCTCCACTCCGAGCTCTGTCTTCAACCCCTACTGGCAGAGGGAGAGTACATGTTACCAAGCGGCGCCTGCGCACTATCCACTGTGTTCACGACCCGAGCCCAGCGCGTGAATAGAGATCTACATACCGCTGCCAGAGCTACGCGAAGGCGGAGACGCTAGCCCACACACTCCCTTAACTGACTTTGCCCTTCGGTCTGGACACGCATACAATCCCCACGCCTGCAGGTGGCGCGCTCAAAAGCCGACCCTGCATCCCCTCGCGACACGGCTCAACCCTTGGACTCTATCCGGCGAACGCGCTCTCTCCTTTTCACATCCCTGATCCCCTTCAGACCCCAAAGCCTGTCCACCCGCATCTCAAACCCTATCGTACTCCCACAAAAACAGAAAATCTGAACATAGCCATTTCGTCTTTGGAATAAACTGCACGGACGCGCAGCGACAGGTTGCGCAGACGATTCAGACGCTACACGCGCTCACGCGCAGGCGCAGACCGGAAACAAGCGGGGCTGTCCTAGGGCACTCTGGGAGTTGTGGACGAAGCGCGTAGCGCCGCCGCAAACTTCGCAGGGAGTTGTAGGCCCAGCTTGTCCCAGAACGGTAAGCACTTTGGGCCGAGCCGCCGCATGGACTCCTGGGAGTTGTAGGCGGATAGACCCAAAGCCTTCTAGGAATCGTAGTCCTTTCACCGTTCCAGCGTGTTCCGGTTGTCCACGCGCCGTGTTTTGCCCTGGTGAGTATCCCCTCCCACGGCGGGTTGGTACTGGCCCTTTCTCAAGATGACGCTTAGGAGTCTAGGGTCTCCGTGTTGCCCTCCCACGCAGCCCGGTAGGCGTCCCCGAGATGACACGCTTTTCCGTGATCCCCCAACGCCAGTCTTCCCCACGGCCTTCCGGGCTTTAGTGGCCTAGGCAGCTGTTGACCCTGTAGAGCCGCTTTGGACACTGCGGCCTCCTCTGACTCCCCGGTCCTGCCCCTCCAAACTTGGAGCGGTCCGAGAGCACCCTTCTCTGTCCTAGTTAGAACCCAGAGTTGTCAGGGCTGGTCTGCGGGGGTGCTCAGGCAGCTGTATGGGAGCCCAGAGGAGACGCTACACCCAGCCTGAAACCAAAAAACACCCAAACCCGTTGCGCCGAGTTGATTCTGACTCATAGCGACCGTGTAGGACACAGTAGAGTTTCCAAGGAGCAGCCCGTGGATTTGAACTGCCACCCTTTTGGTTAGCAGCCAAGCGCTTAACCACTGCGCCACTAGGGCTCCCCAGACCCAGCCCAGGGTTCATCAAAGACTTACCAGGGCACAGGATCTCAAATCTAACATATTCAAACGAAATTCCAGATTCTGTGCCCTAAAGTTACAATCCTTTGCCCTCTCCCCACCCACCAAGTGGGTCCAGTATGCTTCCAGATGTTCTGGCCAAAACCTGAAGTTGTCCTGAGTCCTGTATTGCTTATCCACACCCCTCCCCCAAGTCTTCGTGAGCCTCATCTGCTCTACCTACAGAATAGATCCAAACCCTACCACTTCTCACCACCTCCCTTCTGGTTCAAACAACAAAAACCCCTTGCCATAGAGTTGATTCTGACTCACGGCGACCCTAGAGGACAGAACAGAACTGCGCCATAGGGTTTCCAAGGAGCAGCTGCTGAATTTGAACTGCCAACATTTTGGTTAGCAGCCAAGCTCTTAACCACTGTGCCACCAGGGCTCCCCATTCTGGCCCAAGCCACCATTATTGCTTACCTGGTTCATTCCAAGGTCCTTGGGTGGCACAAACGGTTTGCGCTCAACTGCTAACCTAAAGGTTGGCAATTTGAGCCCACACAGCGGGTCTGCAGAAGAAAGACCTATGGGGCAATTCTACTTTGTAACGTATGGGGTCACCGTGAGTCAGAATCGATTCAATGACAATGGTTTTGGTTTTGGTTTGGATCACTGCAGCAGATCCTCACTCCTCTTTCTCTCAGGACTTCAAACCGGTTATTTTTGATTTGACCCCCTGCTGGGATTCGCATTTCCACCCCAGATGTACTGAATCAGAATCTACATTTTAACAAGATCTTGTTAAAATTTAAGATCCCTCAGGAGATTCTTATGTGAAATGCAAATTCTCAGCAGGGAGTGGAATAACCAGTTCCAAGCCCCACAGTTTCTCTACCTTTGCCACCCTTCACCCTCCCTACAGATTGTTCACATGCAGACCAAGGAATCCTGTTAAACTATAAATCAGATCCTGTCACTTGACAGCTGAAAACCTTCCAGTGGTTCCCATCTCATTCAGAATAAAATCCAAATTCCTCACTCTCACAACCTCCAAGCCTTAACACCTCTGAGGTCTTGAGCCACACAACACTTTCCAAATAAACTTAGCCAAGCCCTGCCCTTCAAGTACTTTGCATTCTTTACGGAACATTCTTCCCACTCTGATCTAATGCTGGTTCCTTATCCTTCTGGCCTTGGCTCAGAGGCTTTTCCTGACTTTGCCACCCCTCCATTCCCTCGCAGTCACATCATTGTCGTTAGGTGCCGTCAACTTGATTTTGGATTCGTAGCGACCCCATGTGACAGTAGAACTGCCCCATAGGATTTTCTAGGCTGTAATTTTTAACAGGAGCAGATCACCAGGTCTTTCTCCCATGGGGAGCCACTGGGTGGGTTAGAACCACCAATGAATCGGTTAGCAGCTGAGTGCTTATTTGTTGCGCCACCAGTCACATCACCTGGGATAATTCCTTCATATTACTCCTCATATTTGGCAACAGTCTTGGTTATTTACTTATGGTTTGGCTCCTCCACTAGAATATTAGTGCCCTGAGAGCTGCAGCCTTTCCTGTCTAGTTCACTGCTATGTCCGCAGCGCTCAGAGAGGAGGAATTTAGTGGATTATTTGCTGAATGAATCAAGAGTTTAAAATGAGACTTGAAGGTAAGAGTCGGGCCTGCACAATGTCCGGGGCAGTGTTCCAGGCAATGTAAACAGCTGGACAAAGGTGTGAAGCGTTGGAAGACCTGCTGGAAGTCTGCCCAAATGGTTTGGGTGGGGCCAGACCACGCAGGGCCTCAAACACCCAAGGGCTTAGGGAGGGGAGCCAAGCTGAGTTTCTAGCAGGGGTGGCACTTGATCTGATGACCTCAGGAGGTGGACTCCAGTACTGGTTGACTCTAGATTTAGGGAGTAGAGCGATGAGTCCAAAGTCACTATTTCCAGCCCTGTGAAGGAGCTGGGTGCAAGGTGGTGATGCTCTCACGTATAACCCGTCACCTCTCCAGAAGTCTGCTCCTCCCACGCCCACCTCTCCAGGGCCTACTCGGGCCAACGTGGGGCTATCCGGGTGGACTCTCTGGAGACGGGGAACCCATAATCCAAAACCCACGGGTAACCTGACTAATCTCCCTGTCCAGGAGAAGCTGACCCCTTCCGCCCTTTGGGGACCCCCGCGATGCCGGCGCCACCGTGCGCCTCCTGCCACGCGGCGCGAGCCGCCCTCCGCCGCCCGCGTTCTGGACAGGCGCTGTGCGGCGCCTGCTTCTGTGCCGCCTTCGAGGCCGAGGTGCTGCATACAGTGCTGGCGGGCCGCCTGCTGCCCCCCGGGGCCGTGGTGGCTGTGGGCGCCTCGGGCGGCAAGGACTCCACGGTGCTGGCGCACGTGCTCCGGGAGCTGGCGCCGCGCCTGGGGGTCTCGCTGCGCCTCGTGGCCGTGGACGAGGGCATCGGCGGCTACCGTGATGCTGCGCTGGCTGCCGTGCGGCGCCAGGCGGCGCGCTGGGAGCTCCCGCTCACCGTCGTGGCCTACGCAGACCTCTTCGGGGGCTGGACGATGGACGCCGTGGCACGCAGCACGGCTGGCTCGGGCCGAAGCCGCGCCTGCTGCACCTTCTGCGGAGTTCTGCGGCGCCGAGCGCTGGAGGAAGGTGCGCGCCTTGTGGGAGCCACGCACATCGTGACGGGTGAGCGCAAGCGCGGAAGCAGGAGGGGCGGAGTCGGATGGGAAGGAATGGGACTCGTACAAGGGCGAGGGGCGGGGCACGGGAAGGGGATTGGGACGCATACTGGGGAAGCTTTTTGGAGCGGAAGAGTGCACGCCCAAGAAGTGGTTAAGGAGACCCAGGCATGTCCTAAGGGCGGGAGCCGGATAAGAAGCCCAGATTATACGCACGCGCCTGTATGGGGCTAGAGCCCACTGAATGTTTATGGGTTTAGGATGTGCCCATCCCTGTGTGGGGTGGGGCAGGCGACGGAAGCTTTTGAGTATCACTGTCCTCATCTTTGTACACATACATTGACAAACAGTGGGATAGAGGGGCTACTCTAGAGGCTGGGGCTGTGGTTCTCTGCATCCTTAAAAAAATGTTATTCTTTGTGTCTTTCATAAAGGGAGGGTTGTGAGGGCTGTCTTCCTTCAGAAACCATTTCCAGTCTGAAATGCAACTGTCTCTTAACTCCTTTTTATCAGCTTTTTCTCCCTGCTGACTCTTTAATTCTCTCTCAATCATTACTTCAACAGATAATTATTTGGTACCATTTACTACGTACCCTAATATACTCGGATATAAGGAGCCCTGGTGGCGCGGTGGTTAAAGCACTTGGCTGCTGACTGAAAGGTTGGCGATTCAAACCCAACAGCAGCTCCATGGGAGGAAGCTGTGGCAGTCTGCTTCCGTAAAGATGACAGCCTTAGAAACCCTACGGGGCAGTTGTACTCTGTCCTATAGGGTCTCTATGAGTCAAAATCGACTTGCCAGCAAGGGTTTTGGTTTTATACCCTGCTACACCAGGGGTGCCCTGGTGGTGCACCCACCTAGTGATCTGCTCCTGTAAAGATTGTTATTTGCCATTGAGTCGATTCCAACTCACAGGAAACCCAATGAGGCAATTCTACTCTGCCCTATAGCTTCGCTATGAGTTGGAAGCGACTCAAGGGCACACAATAACACTGTGTACCACATACAAGCTGTGTGGCTTAGAGCCAAATAACCTCTCTGTGCCTTAGTTTCCTTTTCTTTAAAATGGGGATATTAATATTATCAAGCTCCTAGAGTTGTTGAGAGGTAGATGGATTATCATGTATAAAGCACTTAGACCAGATTCTGAAGAACAAGAAACACTACAAGCAGTCCCCAGGTCATGCAAGACATCTGTTCCTAAGTCTATCTTTAAATCGAATTTGTAGGTAAGTTGGATCAGGTACATAAGGTTCTTATTTAGTGTCAGTCAGTCAAATGTTTGTCTAAGTATATAGTATATATTTTACCTTTCTATGCATATAAAACACTTAAGAAACACTTTCAAACCACACAGTATTTTCATGAGCGTCACAATCACAAACTATTGCATGTAAGTCAAAATTTTAATATAATAGGCTTTATGGCAGCCCATTCTTAAGTATGAGTTGTCCATAAGTCAGATGTTCCTGACCCGCGGATTGCCTACATAAATGTTCTTATAATGCTGCACAAGACAGAGGCAGTCCCTGCTCTTGCTCAGTTCTCATATCCATTCGACTACTAGCCAAAAGGTTGGCGATTCAAACTCACCCAGAGGCTCCTCAGAAGATAGACCTGGCAATCTGCTTCTGAAAGGTCACAGCATTGAAAACCCTTTGGAGCACAGCTCTACTCTGCACACATGGGGTCACCATGAGTTGGAATCAACTCGACGACAACAGGTGCCACAAAGGGAAATGACACAGACTTTGTAAGCTTATAACCAGAGCACACAGTGAAGGGAGAAAGGTGGAGATTTAAGACGTCTTTCCTGAGTGTTTGAGCTCACATCTGGAGGCTGAGTGGGTAACTACATGAAGAATGAATAGGAGGCTGGGGGAGAGGGCATTCTGGGCAGAGGAAACAGCTGTGCCAAGGCCCCAAGGAGAGGGTGGATGGCCAATTTGAGAAGCTTTAAAACGACCTGTGTTTTACTATGTAGGCTCAAGTATAAAATGACAAAATTTAGAGTAAGTGTAGATTTAGCTTAAATTTATGGTGACTGGTGTGTAAATAAGGAGTCCTGGTGCACAGTGGTTAAGCACTGGGCTGCTGACCGACAGGTCGGCAGTTGGAACCCACCAGCTGCTCTGCGGGAGAAAAGATCTGGCAGTCTGCTTCCGTAAAGATTACAGCCTTGGAAGCCCTATGGGCAGTTCTACTCTGTCTTATAGGGTTGCTATGAGTCGGAATTGACTCCACGGCAATGAGTTTAGTTTTGGTTTGTAAATATTCACTTTCTCCCTGGTGTTTTAAAACACCATGATCCACATTCTCAGAGGCACTTAAAATCAACCCTCTTGAGAATCTCCATTAAAGACCATTTTTACTTCTGCACAGTTGGAACTACAGTTTGAACTGAGGCTGAAATGGTATTTGCAGCATAAAGCACTTCTACTTGCTACATGAAAGGGCATCTAGCACAGGGCCTGGTCTGCAGCAGGATGAGGGCGCCCCCAAGTTGGCTGTGTGTGTGCTGCGCTCTCATTTCTAGCTGAGTCTGCCTCCAGCCTCCACTTAGCCGCCTCACAGTGGTACGGGGTCTGCATGACCTGCTCTCCCCCTCCGTGCCTCTCACCTGCTCCCTATCTCTGTCCTGGTTGTCCCACGGTGTCCAGGGGTCTCCATGACCCGTGTCCACCACCCCCACCTGCACCTGGTCTCTGTCTCCTGCCTGCCCCAGGGGCCTAGGGATCTCCATGACCGGCGCCCCCCACCCCCACCTACTCCCCATCTGTGTCCTGGCCGCCCCTTGGTGCCTGGGGGTCTCCATGACCAGCAGCTGCCTCCACCCGCGGCCACCTCACGCGCTCCCGTCTCTCCCCGCAGGCCACAACGCCGACGACATGGCGGAGACCGTGCTCATGAACTTTCTGCGGGGCGACACTGGGCGGCTGGCGCGCGGCGGAGGCCTGGGCTCGCCGGGAGAAGGAGGCGCGCTGCCCCGCTGCCGCCCACTGCAGCTGGCCTCGCAGAAAGAGGTGGTGCTGTACGCGCACTTCCGCCGACTGGACTACTTCTCCGAGGAGTGCGTGTACGCGCCCGAGGCCTTCCGCGGCCACGCCCGCGACCTGCTCAAGCGCCTGGAGGTGGTGCGGCCGTCGGTGGTGCTGGACCTCGTGCACTCGGCTGAGCGCCTGGCGCTGGCCCCGGCCGCGCAGCCCGCGCGTCCCCGCGCCTGCACCTGCTGCCGGGCGCTGGCCAGCCGCCCGCTCTGCCAGGCCTGCACGCTGCTCGACGGGCTGGACCGCGGCCGGCCACGCCTGGCCATCGGCAAAGGCCGCAGGGGCCTGGACGAGGAGGCACCGCGGGCCGGGGCCCAGCCGCCTCCCTCTGCGGCCCTTCCCGCTTTCTAGCGCCTGGCGTGTTCGGGCAGGGTTCCTCACGCCTAGGAGGGCGAGGGAGGCCTGTGAACACTGCAGACAAACTCGATTTTCCTTTGCCTGGCTTCCGTGTTGATACGGAGATGGAGACCAGTTGCCTGTATCTTTATAGATGCTGGGGCCCCAGACTACTGGGTCTGAAAGAGGAGGGGGCTGGGGCCCAGACGCCTGAGTGTCAGGGAAAACCCAAACGAAACCCAGTGCCAGCGAGTTGATTCCAACTCACAGCGACGCTATAGGACAGAGTAGAACTGCCGCATAGGGTTTCCAAGGAGCAGCTGGTGGATTAGAATTGCCGACCTTTTGGTTAGCAGCCAAGCTCTTAACCACTGCGCCACCAGGCTTTGGGTCTGGAGGAGTAGGGAGTTAAACAACCTTGGATTCCTGAGTGGGGATTAGGGAGCTGCTTGCCTGGTGCCTCTGCTGGGTTCCAGGCGCTCATGGTGGTGCTCACCCTTCTCGAGCACTTCATGTCCTATTTGCTTGTAGTGGGATGAGCAAAATCGCCTGAGTTAGTGGCCACACCCCCTTTACAGTAACCACCCTGAGACTGTTCCTCAAGAGCTTCTCAGGCAGCAGGTGCTGCGTTGAGCTCTTTCCAGGCACCATCTCTTCATCCTGCCACGACCGTATTGGCTGTAGCTGCAGTGAGTGAAACGAGGCTCAGACAGGTGCAGTAACCGGCCCAAGGTCACCCACCTGGAGAGGGGCCGAATGGGGCCTGCCTGACTCCAGAGCTCTGAGACTGTGATATTGCCCCTCTCCCCAACCCTGCCCTCTCCCACGCGCACCTGACTCTCCTGGTGTCTCTTGTGACCTATGAGGAGCAGCTGGCTCCCCTGACCTTGGGCTCTGGAGGCTGACCTGGTGAGCCTGGGTCAGTGACTTAACCTCTCTGATCTTCCATTTCCTCCTCTGGAAATAGACAAAACCTCCCAGCAAAGCGTCAAACCACTGGTGATAAAGTGCTCAATAAATGGTGGCTGCCTTGCTTGGTAAACTAAAGGGTCAGTTCAGTGAAAAAGAGGAAAACCTTCAATGAGATGGATTGACACAGTGGCTGCAACAATGGGCTCAAACATACCAACAGCTGTAAGGATGCACAGGACCAGGCAACGTTTCATTCTATTATACATAGAGGATGAGTGGGATGAGTGGGATGACACCTGGCAACAAGCCTTGGTTGTTCATGTTAAGGTTTGGCCACCATGGGGCTTAGAGTTTCAGGGTTGCTGCCCTGTGGTTCCAGGAAGGTGTGAGGCCCAGAAGCTTCCCACTTGACCCTTGGTGAGACTGGGTTTTCTCAGTCCCACTTCCAAGCTCTTGCTGGGCTGCTCCCTTGTCAGGGATGCCCTCCCTCTCCCATCTTCCTACTCAAATCCTCCAGGGTCCTCCTAGTAGCCTTCCCTGGCTTTCTCCTCCTCCCCCCACCTCCCAGGCCAGGCAGCCATCTTACCCTGACACACAGGAGGGGCAGCAGCAGTATCTTGGGCTGGGAGGGGTAGTCTGGGACCCCTTGACATCATCAGATCAGCCACTACGAACTTCAGGGTAGCCTCGGGAGGAGCAGACAGCTAGAGACTAGTTCTGGATTGGGCTGCCCCAAACCCTTCTCTTTATCAGGAGCTTCAATTCTGTCTAAGTTTCCTAGTGCTGCTAATAACAGAAATACCACAAGTGAGTGGCTTTAATGAACAGAAATTTATTTTCTGACAGTTTAGGAGACTAGAATTCCAACTTCAGGTCCTTGGCTCTTTTCAGCTTCTGTTCGTTGGTTCCTTGGCAAGCTTCCTGTAGCCTGTATCCCCCGTTTGTCCCTCCTTCTCTGTGCATGACCTGCTCCTTTTATCTCTAAAGTGATTGGTTTAAGACACATCCTCCACTGATATGACCCAATTAACGTAAATCTCCAGATGGGATTATATCCACATGTATAAACCAAACCCATTGCCATTAAGTCAGTTCTGACTCATAGTGACCCTATAGGACAGAGTAGAACTGCCCCATAGGGTTTCCAAGGAGTGGCTACTGGATTCGAACTACTGACCTTTTGGTTAGCAGCTGAGCTCTTGATCACTGTGCCACCAGGGCCCCCTGTGCACGTGTATAGGGGTTAGGATTTACAACATATCACGTATTTTGGGGAGACATGATTCAATCCATAACACCCTCCTGTTCATCTAAACAACTACCAGGAAAGTGAAAGGCTATCCCAGGTCTAGTGATAACCTGTCAGGGTGGTCCATCCCATGTTGTTCCCCATGAGATGCTGCCCCCCACCCCAACAGCTTTCTACCCCTCACCCTCCAGGAAATGAATAGAGTTGCAGTTTCTCTCTGTTCACTTATAATTCTTGTAAATTCTGGGGCAGGAGTATCTGGGAGCTGGGATATACCTGAAACAAAATATTCTGGTCCTCAGCCCAGACCTGGTCACACAAGAAGGTATGGCTCAACTTGAATTCATCTCCAAAGGGAGGGCGGGTGGACCTTATGGTCAGAGGCTGGGACTGAGAACTGGGGCCCTGGCTTCACCTGCAGACTTGGGTGTGATATTTTTGGGCTTCTGGTGTCGGTTTGGGTTCAGGAGGGGATATAACCTGTATGTGGCTCTCAACCACTTCTTGGATTTCCCATAAGTCTTACACTCACACCTTCAGAATGAGTTCCCCTAACTTCTGAACAGTTCCTCCAGCCCCCAGGAGACCTCCTCTCTTTAGGGTATCTTTCAAATCTCTCTCTCCTTACCCCACCACCATCTTTCCTTTACCTTTCCTGGTCTGCTCTGCTCTTCATGACAACTCTATCTTGTGGTCCACTGAGGTCATAGGATTCTTTTCCCAATTTGAGTACTTACCCTTCGTGTGCAAATAACTTAGAATTTGTTTCTGTGACCCATCAGCTCCAAAGGTACCTCCTCAACCAGCCTCCTGATACTTTATTCCTTCATTTGCGCTGACTCAGGACATGGCATATATAGCCAGGCACAGAAAAGGACCGAAAATCATGTTCTCTGACATCTAGAGCTCCATGACAGTACAGGAACGGATTAAAAGCAAAAGCGAAATATCAACATACTGGAAAGTGAGGGGAGGAGTCTGACCTACACAGAGAAGGTTTTCTGGGGAGGGCGAGGGTAGAGACAGCTCTGAGGGGCAAGAAACCCAGAGGCCTATGAGAAATGCCTTGTCTAAGTCCCCTCTTCCCTAGAATAGGGGTGCAGGCTTGCAGGGGGAGCCGGAGGAAGACCTTGGATGCCCTCTGACCAGCACCAGCCCTCAGTCTTCTGACCTCTGCATCTGAGACAGGTCAGGACTCTGCCCCAGGGGGCGCTCCATCCACCAAGTTAGACCTGGGGAGCCCCTCACAGCTGAGTTGACGTTGTCCTTGGTGCTGGGGCACAGCCAGGCTCTGAGTTCAGGAAACTCCCAACTATGTTGTTAGTTACCATAGAGTCAATTCTGACTCATGGTGACCCCATGTGTTGCAGAGTAGAACTCCATAGGATCTTCAAGGTCGTGACCTTTCAGAAGCAGATCGTCAGGACTGTCTTCCCAGGTGCCTCTGGGTGGGTTCAAACCGCCAACCATTCAGTTACCGTTTGCGCCACCCAGGGACTCTCAACTCGGCTGCAAATCTCAAATTCACAGACACAGGCCAGCAGGACACCTAGTTAGAGGGGCTGTGGAAAGGCTGAGTTTCTCTTGGAAAGAAGGGGTCGGAGTGGCCTGGGCTTGTCTCTCTGTTTTTTGTTTGTTTTTGTTTTCTATTCCTCTTATTGGCCTAAGGATCGTTCTTCTGAACTGGTGGTACCATCCTGGCTAAGGGACAGGGAAGGACAAGGTATTTGCTGAAGCTCCAGGTGATGCTAATGTTGCTCGTCCTCGGACCACACTTTACATAGCAAATCCATGCCTGCATCTCCCCTTGGATAAGGGATTAGGAAAAAGATGGATGTTCACTGAAGCTCCCTGCATGCCAGATTGTGCCTTTCTATACATTGTCCCATTCAGTCCTCACAACCATTGTTATGCATTGAATTCTGCCCCTCCCCCCAAAAAAAGATATTTTGAAGTCATAACCCCTGGTACCTATGAACATGACCTTGTTTGGAAGTAGAATGTTTTAAAATGTTATCAGTTAATTTAACACGAGGTCATAGTGGAGTAGGATGGCCCCTAATCCAATACGAGTGGTGTCCTTATAAAAGAGGAGAAGAGACAGACACAGAGGGAAGGTGGTGGCAATGTGGAGACGGGCAGGAATTATGGATGGAATTATGCTGCAGCTGCAAACCAAAGAATTCCTGGGGATACCAGAAGTTGGGAAAGATGAGAAAGGATCTTCCTTTAGAGCCTTCAGAGGGAGTATGGCCCTGCTGACACACTTACTTTGGACTTCTAGCCTCCAGAACTGGGAGACAATAAATTTCTGTACTTACAAGCCACTGGTTTGTGGTACTTTTTACAGCAACCTTAGGAGCAAATACAACCACTCAGAGAGGGATCATTCTCATTTCATGGAGTGGGAAACCAGTACTCAATGTGGTAAATGACCTTCACAGCGTCTCACATCAGTGATGCACATTTTGGGCCGGGATTGTAATCCATGCGTAACAGACACCATAGACACTGCTCCCGAATCACCTTTACTCTGGCTCCCAAAAGAAACCAGAAGACTGGATGGTACACATTTGGGAAGTTTTTCTATTGAAATGGCATGGGCCATTGTCTTTGGAGCCCAGGATTGGTGGTGGGAGCAGAGGGCAGAAGGACAGACCCCCACATGAGGGGGAATCTCAAGGGACTAGGATCATGGCTCCATGGGCCAGCCCTCAACACCATCTCCAACTACTTCAGGAGCCTCTACTTCTAGTGGACACTCAACATGCTGAATATTGGTAAGGGAGTGGATTCTGTTCAGTGCTTGCTGCTGGAATGCCCCTAGAGGAGGAAATTCCCCCAATGAATTTCCTAGGTGTATTAGGGAACTACCAAGCTAGTAAGGCCACCATTAAGAATGAAAAGCTGAGTGGCGACCTGTGGAGAGGATAGTTTTTGGTTTGTTAGTTTGTTTATTGCATAAGCAGTTGCCATCGAGTTGATTCCTACCCATGACGACTCTATGTGTGTCAGAGTAGAACTGTGCCCCATAGGGTTTTCAATGGCTGATTTTTCAGAAGTAGATCACCAGGTCTTTCTTCCAAGGCACCCCTTGGTGGGCTTGAACTGCCAACCTTTATGTTAGCAGCCAAGTGCATTAACCCTTTGCACCTCCCAGGTACTCCCATTTATTGCATATGGATATCCAATTGTGTTAGCACCATTTATTGAACAGAGAGTAACATTTCCTGTTCTGGAGTGCCACGTATCACATGAGAATGTCTGTGTATGCCTTCTCTATACTTAGGCTTTAGATGAGTCAATTGTAAGGAGCCCTGGTGGTGCAATGGTTAAGCACTCAGCTGCTAATGTAAAGGTTGGCAGTTCTAACCCACCCAGCTAGGCTCCACAGCAGAAACATTTGGCAATCTGCTCCCATAAATATTACAGCCTAGAAAACCCTATGGGACAGATCTACTCTATCACATGGGGTCACTATGAGTCAAAAATTGACTCCACAGCATCTAACAAAAATAACACTGTAAAGAGCAGATAGTTAGAGTATTAATCCAGGCTGACTATTTTTAACTGAAACATTTAGTCCGCTTGTATTTAACATAATTACTGTTACATTGTTGTTGTTAGGTGCTGTTGAGTCGGTTCCAACTCATAGCAACCCTATATACAACAGAACAAAACAGTGCCTGGTCCTGTGCCATCCTCACAATTATTGCTATGTTTGAGCCCATTGTTGCAGCCACTGTGTCAGTCTATCTCACCGAGGGTCTTCCTCTTTTTTGCTGACCCTCTACTTCACCAAGCATGATGTCCTTCCCCAGGGACTGGTGCCTCCTGATAACGTGTCCAAAGGATGTGAGACAAAGTCTCGCCATCCTCTCTTCCAAGGAGCATTCTGACTGTGCTTCCAAGACAGATTTGTTCATTCTTCTGGCAGCCCATGGTATATTCAATATTCTTCGCCAACACCATAACTGAAATGTGTCAATTCTTTGGTCTTCCTTATTCATTGTCCAGCTTTGGACAATGAATATGTAGTGATTGAAAATACCATGGCTTGGGTCAGGCGCACCTTAGTGCTCAAAGTGACATCTTTGCTTCTAACACTTTAAAGAGGTCTTTTGCAGCAGATTTGCTCAATGCAATACATCATTTGATTTCTTGACTGCTGCTTCCATGGACATTGTGAAATGAAATCCTTGACAACTTCAGTATTTTCTCTGTTTATCATGATGTTGCTTATTGGTCCAGTTGTGAGGATTTTTGTTTTCTTTATACTGAGGTGTAATATGTAGGTACCAGAAAATGTAAAACACAGTTGTCTCCCTGTGGATTTACCTGTTATTGTTATCAAGAATTTTAAAATTATCTTTTAATTATCTGTAGGGGGTGAACTCTCTCATTTATCTGTTCAAAAAAATGTTTATTACTTTCTCATTTTTGAGTTATATGTTCTCTGAGTATAGATCCTAAATTGATATTAAGGATAATATTTGTGTTCTTCTGCTATCCATTGTTGCTACTGATAACTCAGCTCTTCATTAAACTGCTCTTCTTTTGAAGGTAATCTCTTTTCTTTGGTTGCTGTTCAGATCATCTTGTCATTGGTTTTCTTTAGTTCACCCTTACCCTGATCCAATCTCAATGTGGGGAAGGTCTCCCATGAACTTTCCACCTTGGGAAGTCAAGAGTCTTGACCTTTACTCCCAAGGCCTCGGTATGGGCAAATGCCACCAGGAAAAGCCAGCATTTTAGCTCAGATAGTCTGCTTAATTCTCTGGGTCCAGGCTTTTCCCAAAATTTTGGCCTGATGGTTCCCCACTTTCTTTTCAGGTTTTCTATTCTCTTAAACTAGAAACCCTGGTGGCATAGTGGTTAAGAGGTACAGCTGCTAACCAAAAGGTCAGCAGTTTGAATCTACCAGGCACTCCTTGGAAACCCTATGGGGCAGTTCCACTCTGTCTTATAGGGTCACCATGAGTTGGAATCTACTCAGTGGCAATGGGTTTGGTTTTTTTTTTTTTTTTCCAATACTCTTAAAAGAGAGATATTTTTTTCTATTCATTTTGTCCAAAAGATTTTATTGTTTTCAGCATGAGGCTTGATAAGAATGACCTAATCTGTTATTACCAAAATGATAGTCGTAACTGGACTTCTTACTTTGGTATTGAAAATGGGGTTTGGGGAATGGATGTTGAAGACCAGTGTCCTCCCAGTGCCACACTGGAATCGTCCACTTCTTTCTTTATGACTACTTTCTAAAGCTTATGTAATAACATTGTAGTTTTCTTCCAGGTTTAGGTGCTGCTGGAGAACTTTTGGCTCTTCTTAAGTGCTTTTTTTTTTCTCCACTCAACTAGTTCAACTTTAGAGGAGGAAGATTATGAGCTCTTTCTTCAGTCCATTCTCTCAACCCAAATCTGCCTGTGAACTCAGGTTTGAAGGACAAGACTGCGTAAGGCAGGTGAAGGAAAGGTGGCATGGTCTTCAGGAGACGATCTCAAAGTGCAAAGACGGCAGTATGAATCAACACAGAAGGTTTAAGGAAGGGTGGGGCCAAGAGATAAGGACAGAGGAGTAGATAGCAGTGAGGTCATGAAGGGCTTTAAATGCCTGGGGGAGATGCTCATCTAAGGCCAGGGAGCCATGAATGGGTTTTGGACAAGACAGAGTCAGGGTCATCTCTCTGGGCGTTGGAAAGATCCCTCTGGGATCCATATGTGAAATGAGGGAGGAACTGGAGGCCAAAAGGTGAGGGAATTTTTGGAAGGATCAACAAATAAAAGTGGAGGGATGACCCTGGAGAGGTTGTAAGATGGCACATCATGAACTGAATGCCAAGCTGAGGAAGCTTTGAAGAAAAATGAGAAGGGTAGTGACACCAACATGTTGCCCTGTTCTCTGTTCCTGGTCACTCCCAGGCTCAGGAGAACTTGCCAGAGGGACTTTCTGTTCAAGGAGGAGAGACCAGCAACCACTGGACACATGCTGTGTGACAAGACATCTATTAGCTGATCTTCATGTGTTAATTTCTTTAATACTCATAATAATTTTTGAGGTAGGACACATTATCTCTCACTTACAGCATGGGAAACTGAGGCAAAGAGTAATGAAGTGAGTTCTTGGTAACAACGCCTTAGAAAGTGGTGGAGCCTGGATTTGAGCCTGAGTCTCTCTAACTCCATCACCTATATGCTTTCTGCTCTACCTGGGGACACTCATACAGTTGTTAGTTGCCATTGAGTTGTCTCTGACTCATGGTGACCTTAGGTATAACAGAATGAAATGTTGCCTGGTCTTGCACCATCTTCATGATTGTTGCTATGTTTGAGTCCATTGTTTCAGCCACTGTGTCAATCCATCTCATCAAGGGCCTCCCTCGCCTTTGCCAACCCTCCACTTTACCAACCATGATGTCCTCATATGGTGGTTACATTAATATTGTCACAAGGGCTCTCCATTTTTCATCAATTAGTCCCTGACTTCTCCTTTTCCCAGACAGGCTGTGATTCCTCAGGCCAGGACTGAGCTCTGAGCGAGTCCTCATTTGCTTGTCTTGATCTCTGTGTACTCAGTGGTGCTGGTGGCCTCCTCGTCCTTAGACTTCTGTGGTTTCATTCCGTGAAAGCTGAGGGAGGCATAATGGACATCCTGCTCCTCCCTTGAGGGAGGGGTATCCCCAGAGTGGGACTGTTGGGCAGGGGTACTCTCTGGCCAGGGCTTTTGCCTGCAACTCTGAGTAAGAAGAAGAAAAGAAAGCTAGAGCATGGTCTCCAAGGCAAGGTTGGGCTTTCCTTTATTCATTCTTTTATTACACACACATTTCCTGCAGACTCAATGATTCACTCATTCATTTAAAAATATGTAATACTACAATTGATTAGATCTTATGGAGGGAATACTAATTATATTTAATTTTACCCAGTATAAATGAGACATAAAAGCGTATTAAACTTCTGTTTTGTTAAGTGTAAGATAGAGACCTGGAGTTAAAAAACCAGAAGGGAAGAACATGCTCTGCATTTCTCAAGCTGAAAGAACTGTAGGAAAAATTCAAGCCTCGAATTGCAATATTGAAGGATTCTATGGGCAAAAAGGAGCCTTGATGGTGCAGTGGTTAAGTGGTTGGCTGCTAACCAAAAAGGTCAGCAGTTTGATCCACCAGCCACTCCTTGGAAACCCTATGAGGCAGTTCTAGTCTGTTATAGGGTCACTATGAGTCAAATCACCTTGAAGGCAATAGGTTTGATTTTTGGTTTATGGGCAAAAAAATTGAAGCATCAAAAGAAGATGGTAGGAATACAGAGTCACTGTACCAAAAAGAACTGGTCGACATTCAACCATTTCCGGAGGTAGCATATGATCAAGAACCAATGGTACTGAAGGAAGAAATCCAAGATGCACTGAAGGCATTGACAAAAAACAAGACTACCGGAACTGGCAGAATACCAACTGAGATGCGTCAACAAATGGATGCAACACAGGAAGCACTCACTCATCTATGCCAAGAAATTTGGGAGACAGATACCTGGCCAAGCAACTGGAAGAGATCTTTATTTGTGCCCATTCCAAAGAAAGATGATCCAACCGAATGCAGAAATTATTGAACAATATCGTTAATATCATATGCAAGTGAAATTTTGCTGAAGATAGTTAAAAAATGGTTGTAGAGTACATCAACAGAGAACTGCCAGAAATTCAAGCCAAATTCAGAGGAGGATGTGGAACAAGGGATATCATTGCTGCTATATTCGCAAGCAGAGAATGCCAGAAAGATGTTTACTTGTGTTTTATTGATTATGCAAAGGCATTGGACTGTGTGGATCATAACAGATTATGGATAACACTGCAAAGAATGGGAATTCCAGAACACTTAATTGTGCTCAGGCGGAACCTGTAAATAGACCAAGAAGCAGTCGTTCCAGCAGAATAAGGGGATACTGCCTGGTTTAAAACCAGGAAAGGTGCATCAGGGTTGTATCCTTTCAACATACATATTCAATTCGTATGCTGAGCAAGTAATCTGAGAAGCTGGACTGTATGAAGAAACGTGGCATCAAGATTGGCGGAAGACTCATTAACTTTCAATATGCAGGTGACACAAGCTTGCTGAAAGTGAAGAGGACCTGAAGCACTTACTGATGAAGATTAAAGACTACAGCCTACAGTATGGATTGCATCTTAACATAAAGAAAACAAAAATCCTCACAACTGAACCAATAAGCAATATCATGATAAATAGAGAAAATATTGAAATTGTCAAGGATTTCATTTTACTTGGAACCACAATCAATGCCCATGGAAGTAGCAGTCAAGAAATCAAATGACATATTGCACTGGGCAAATCTGCTGCAAAAAACCTCTTTAAAATGTTAAAAAGCAAAGAAGTCACCTTGAGGACTAAGGTGTGCCTGACTCAAGTCATGATATCACCACATATGCACGTGAAAACTGGACAATGAACAAGGAAGACCGAAGAAGAACTGAAACATTTACATTATAGTGTTGGCGAAGAATATTGAATATGCCGTGGACTGCCAGAAGAACTAACAAATCTGTCTTGGATGGAGTACAGCCAGAGTGCTCCTGAGAAGCAAGAATGTGAGACTTTGTCTCACATTCTTTGGACATGCTATCAGGAGGGACCAGTCCCTGGTGAAGGACATCATGCTTGGTAAAGTAGAGGGTCAGCAAAAAAGAGGAAGATGCTCAACGAGATGGATTGACACAGTGGCTACAACAATGGGTTCAAACATAGCAACGATTGTGAGGATGGTGCAGGACTGGGCAGTGTTTTATTCTGTTGTACATAGGTCACTATGAGTCAGAACCGACTTGACAGCACCTAATAATAACAACAACAAGATAGAGATACTGATTTTTTAAATAAGAAAGGAGAAAAATGAAATATTGGGTAAATGGGACCAAGTGAAAGTAAAAGGTAAAATGGTAGGAACAAGTCCACACAGATCAATAACCACAGTAAACACAAACAGAGTAAATTCAACAGGTAAAAGACAAAGGTAATCAAATTGGATTTTTAAAAATCCGGTTATAGACTGTTTACAAAAATCACTGCTAAAGCATAGGACGTGAAAACTTGAAAAAAGAAAGGATGGAAAAATATCAAGCATCTGCTGTTGTTTTTGTTTGCCATTGAGTCAATTCCGACTTGTGGTGACTCCATGTGTTACAGAGTAGAACTGAGCTCCATAGGGTTTTCTTGGCTGTAATCTTTATGGAAGCAGATTGCCAGGCCTTTCTTTCATGGAGCAGGTGAGTGGGTTCGAACCGCCAACCTTTAGGTCAGCAGCTAATCACAAACCACTTGCGCCACCAGTGCTCCTTAGGCATCTACTGTTGTTATTGGGTGCTATTGAGTTAATTCTGACTCATAGCGACCCCATGTGACAAGAGTAGAACTGCCCCACAGGGTTTCCTAGTGTGGTGTCATGGATCTCATGTATATGGCCTTTCTCACCATGGTCTTGTAACTCACTTTGATGGGACTGGGCAAATAAGGTAACTGTGGCCCACAAGGGGATTGGTCAGATTTGCCATTCCGCTAGGCTTAAAATGAGCCATCCCAGAGATGGAAGAGGAGGATCTCACCACCACCAAGGAAGAAGAGCTAGGAGCGGAGCGTGTCCGTTGGATCCAGGATCCCTGTGCTGAGACCCTTGTAGACCCAGGAGACAGAGAGAGCTGTAACACCGAAGACGACAAGACAACGAGAAGCAGCAGCAGAGAAACGACAGCAGCAAAGGCAACAGAAGCAGGAGACAGGCAGGAGACTGCTTAGTGAGCTTCCAAGCCACAGAATGAGAAAGCTGAGTGCCTTCAGGCAGAAGGCTTGCTGGCCAAGTAAAATGCCTCCAGGCACTTGTTAGAGCTAGGCTTGCCAACACACGGAGCTAAGCTGAGGACCTTTGTGTGCCTTTGCTGGCAGAGTGGAGTGCCTTGGGGCACTTGTCGGCAGAGCTAAAAGAGCTTTGTAACACTTGCCCAAGCAGCACAGAGACCGTGGGCCAGAGAGAAGCCTGCCTGCAGGCATGGCTGTGTAGAGGCAGTCCTGATGGCAGAACTGTATCCTGAGCATTCTTGAACCTGAAGTGTAACCTGATACTTCCCAAATAAACTCCATAATCATATTGTCTGTGAGTTCTGTGTGGCCATTGCAACGAATTATCAAACTCAGCAGAGAAGTGCCATGGGAGGGACAGCCTGTGTCAGAATTGGTAAAAAGAGCTGGCAAGAGGAGGCACGTCTGGCCTCTGCCTCAAATGAATCAGCCTTGGACTGTTTATCTTAATTCTCCTTCATCCTTGTGAAGTTAGAGGAGGTCAGATGCTGCCGCCGTGCCATTTTTACACCTAGGCTGTAATCTTTATGGAAGCAGATAGCTATGTCTTTCTCCCAAGGCCAACTGGTGGGTTTGAACTGCTGATCTTTGGGTTGTCAGCCAAGAGCTTAACCAGTGTACCACCAGGACTCCTAAATATCTACTAACCAATAGCAAATTAATGTAGCTGTTTTAAGATCCAAACAAATAGACTTTAAAACAAAAAGTATCCATAGGGATAGAGAGGATCACTGTGTGTGATAAATGTTCAATTCACTGAGAAATTATTTATTTCTAAAATATGCAGTTCTAATTTAAAAATATGTCAAATATAAGAAGCATATTCTATAGAACTACAGGAAAAATTGACAAATACACTATCATAGTGTAAGATTTCAACACACCTCTCTTTGATAGGTCAGGAAGTCTGTCAATAAAGATATAAATTTGAACAACACAATTAACACACTCCCTTGTTGATTTTATATCTAACAAATAGAAAATGTCTAACAAATAGAAACTATACCTTCTTCTTCAGCACACAGGAAACATTTGCAAAAAATTTATCACTTATTGGACCACAGATCAAGTCTCAACAAATTTGAAAAACAGATATGATAAAAATCATGTATTATGACCAAAACACAATTAAGTTAGAATTTAACTATGGAAAGATTTTTTTAATCTCCATACGTTTTGAAGGTTAAAAAATTCCCAAATAACATAAGAGTTAAAGAAGAAATCACAACGAAGGTTTAACAATATTAAGAACTGAATGATATTAAAACAACACATATCAAAATTTGTAGGATGGAATGAAAGTGATGTTTTCAGAGAAATTTATGCATGAATATTTTTATAAAGAAAGAAGAGTACTGTAAGTTAATAGTCTAAGAATACAGCTTAACAAGTTAGTCAAAGAACATCAGAATAAACCAAACCAAACAGAGAAAAGGTACTAATAAAATGAGAGTAAAAAAATGAGAGAGACAAAAAAAAACAAAGATAAAGCAAGAAGTTCAACAATCTCAAAAGTTAGTTCTTTGACAAGGATGCCCTTTATCACCACTCCTATTTAACACTGTGCTGGAAGTTCTAGCTAGAGCAATAAGGCAAGAGAAAGAAATAAAGGGCATCCAAATTGGTAATGAAGAAGTTAAACTCTCCCTGTTTGCAG